CAAGTTTTTATTTCTTTCCTAAACAAGCAACAATCTTCGCACAAGCATGAATTTTGTATACCCCAAATCAAAACTCCTTAATAAATTTTTCACAGAGTAGACTAATTTGAGATCACATTATGCTCTGGTAACATGTCTCCAAGCATCTCTAAAAGGCCATCAAAACTATTGTCAGTCCAACCATTCATAACTTTGTGTTTATATAAAGCTACAATGGCAGACATTTGTTATACTTTGGACAAACCAGGATATAAAGGAGTTTCAGCTATCTCCAATGATTGCGTGATGAAACATTGTCTCTTCTCTTTCTTGATGTTGATGCTAATGATTGGCTCCCATATATGCACTAGTAATTAAGTTAAAAGCATCTGAACTGTTTACTTGAGAAACAATTTCTGTAATATCTTCTATTCACCATGATGGAACCCAATTGTATATGTAGGATCCATCCTCGTATAATCAGATGCTCATAAACAATGTCTATACATGATGAGTCAAGTTGCGACAATCTTTACAAGGGCATAAAATTTTTGCTTCATAGCCTGCATTTTTTCAGCCATCTGACAAAGTCCATGCACCTTGAATGTATGCATCCTAGCGCTCTATCAAAAGGGAAAAAAAAAAAAAAAAAAAAAGGGAAAAAACCTAAACATCTAAAACCTTGTTAAGGAAAATCATCATTACTTCATACACATATGGAATTGTGTCTTTTAATCTTTTTCGTACCTACAGATGCACCCAATCCTTATTCTATCATCATTACTTAATCTACACAATCATTAAAAGTCAAACAATACATGAATAATTATAGGTAAACATGGCAAAATATTATGAAAACAACAAAACATGAGTTGAATGAACCAACATAATATGCAAATTCCATTGAACAACAAAAATAATGCTTACTCTCCGAATACTTAATTGTTGTAGCTATTACTCCAATCCTTCTGGTGCATAATCTATAATTCCCTCTTGATATCAGACAAATCTGATCTGCACAACAGAAATACTATTACAATTTCACAAATACAATAAATTCATATTTGAATACTTAAGGTGTAGTGGCAAAATCCAGACTGCAATTTGCAAACTGGTTGCAAAACTGCAGACTGCAAGCTGCAGTCTGCAGTTTTGCAAGCAGTTTGCAAACTGCAGCTACCAAAACTGCAGACTGTAGTTCGCAAACTACGGACCCTGAATATATAGTAAGATATATATATAAATATATATATATATATAAAATATATAGTACCTTTAAGCTTTCACAGGTTTAGCTGGAATTCTTCTACCTGTCCCACAAAAGAGTGAAAATAAAGAATTTCTGACTGGTGTATACACAGATATAGAAAATCAAAGAATTTTACTCACGGTACTCAGCCCTATCTCATTGTTGCTTTGAATCGCAATCGCCTCCTCAATCTGCAAGATCTTAGATTCTATTGTATAAACTCGCTCCAAGACCTCTGGAGTGCTCATAAACCTAGGAAAAACAAAATATATAGACTCCATATCGAATTCTGGCATAAGAAAGTCAATGTAGCACCAATTGACTCCAAAAATTCTAAAAGAGTGACAAATTCAGCACTCAGAGCACATACGACTGCAATTCATGACATTTCAACACATGAATGTAGCCACACCAAGAACTCTACTACTTGAGAGAGACATAAACAGTTTTTTCCTTTTTTTTTTTTCTCATAGGAGAGAGACATCAACTATTAAAGCACATAAATCAGTTGAGTAAAACTAAATATTATTTGGATTTGTGGATGGTCCTTGATAATTATAAAAATACCAAAAGACTGCATTGTGGCCTTGTTAATAATGGCTTGCAAACTGCAGTCTGCAAGCTGCAAACTGCAGTGGAATAATGGCTTGCAAACTGCAGTCTGCAAGCTGCAAACTGCAGTCTGCAGTTTGCAAACTGCTTGCAAAACTACAGACGATATTAGTTATTACCCCTTTCAAAATCAAATAACAAAGGGCTTATGGCATACGAGTCTCCCTTCTCTCGCACAACCAGACACAAAATGTACTCATAAAAAGAAGAGGGGTAGTTTTGGGTGATTAAAAAAAGCACTCATGAATCTTGTCTTGAATTATAGAAATGATAAATGAATTCAACTTTTTTATTTATTTTTGTATTGTTTTTGAGAAGCTTCTTAATCCTTATTGGCTTTGATCCCCTCTATGTGTTGGTACTTCTTTGACTCATGAGGTGTAAGCGTTTCACTCAGGTAAGCACCAACACAAATCTCTATGCTAATCTTCAGAATACTATATTCATTACACCTACTCAATCCTTCAGTTTAAATTTTACAAACTGCAGTCTGCATTGCAAGCAGTTTGCAAACTGCAGCTGCCAAAACCGCAGACTGCAGTTTGAAACTGTGGACCTGAACATTGTAGTAAGATATATTATATTATATATATAATATATATATCCTATTTTACAACTTCAATGCTTTCCAAGATTTAGATGGAATTTCTTCTACCTGTCCCACAAAAGAGTGAAAATAAATGAATTTCTATCTGGACCAGTATACACAAATATTGAAAATCAGAGAATTTTACTCACGGTACTCAGCCCTATCATTGTTGCTTTGAATCGCAATCGTCCTCAATCTGCAAGATCCAGATTCTATTGTATAAACTCGCTCCAAGACCTCTGGAGTGCTCACAAACCTAGGAAAAACAAAAATAATAAAGACTCCATATCGATTCGGAATAATAAAGTCAATGTAGCACCAATTTGACTCCCAAAATTCTAAAAGAGTGACAAATTCAGTACCAGAGCACAAACGACTACAAATTCAATGACCAGTTCAACAATGAATGTAGCTCACACCGAGACTCTACTAGTTGAGAGAGACATAAACTGTTTTCCTTTTTTCTTTTTCTCATAGGAGAGAGACATCAACTATTAAAGCACATAAATCAGTTGAGTAAACTCAAATATTATTTGGTATTCATTGGATGGTCCTCGATAATTATAAAAATCCCAAAAGACTGATTGTGGCCTGTGTAATAATGGCTTGCAAACTGCAATCTGCAGTTGCAAACTACAGTCTGCAATTTTGGCAGCTGCAGTTTGAGTTTTGCAAGCTGCAGTTTGCAAACTGCAGCTGCCAAAACCGTAGACTGCAATTTGCAAACTGCGGACCCTGAATATTATGTAAGATATATATATATCTATTCTATTTTATAGTACCTTCAATGCTTTCCACAGGTTAGCTGAATTACTTTACCTGTCCCACAAAAGGTGAAAATAAATGAATTATAAAAATCCCAAAAGACTGCATTGTGGCCTTGTTAATGGCTTGCAAACTGCAGTTTGCAGTTTTGCAAGCTTAAAAATCTAAGATTTTGTGTTAAACATGTAGGATTTCCCGAAAGCACAGAGCAAAAAGCTTGCTTTCCCAAAAGCACTAACTTTCCAAAACAGAAGGGAAAAGAGCACCACAATGATTCATAGCACAAGTTTAGTTTAATGTTAAGTAAAACAACTTTCAGCACACAAAAAGAATAAATCAATCTTATAAGCACCACAATGATTCAATCTTATTAAAATTACACTAATAATTTACTGACTTGAGCAGCTTCCTTCCCCTCTACTCAAAAATGCAGAGACAAAATGTAAGAAAATGATTCACCTGAACCAAAGCTTTACTTCCTATAAATACAGATAACACAACATCAAGATTTTTCTACTTATATAATACCATATAGATAACAAAGTACTTACAATTGCTTCGGCAGTCTTGGTGTTGATTGGCTCACCATTCTTTTTCTTATGAGCTTCAATCCATACCTCAACTCTGGACACGACCTGCTTCCCAGTTTTCTTTTTCTATCAAAAAATTGAAAATAATGATAAATGTTCATATTATTTTTCAATTTTAAACTATCATATAACAAAGAATGAGACATTACTATATCTTCAGTCATGCGAGCATAACCCCTTCGACCACCTTTGTAGTAAGTTTGTTTTTTCCTCCTATTTTTCATTTCTTCACTTTTACCCTAAAATGACCATATGCAACTACATCAACAATAAGCATATGCATATATAATATAATGACCATATGTGTGCAATGTTATAATTACCTTAAACCTTGGCCCTAATTTTTGTTCCACAAACTTTTTCCATTCACTAATACTCTTGATGTTATCAGGTTTTAGGGCCATTCTTTCATCTTCATTTTTAGCCATCTTAATGTTACTCTCCAGCCTAGACTTTGAAGTTTTCCAAAGAGCACCCATCTCCTTCAACACATAGTGTTTCTGCCATTCCTGATCCAACTTATATCTTGCCTGAGAGATACAAGTAAATTATTAAAACAAGCATATATATATATATATATAAACATGGAGATTCATACATAACCTGAACACATTTCCATAATTTCTCTCTCATGTCAGAAGGAAGCTTTCTCCAATCAGGAATTGTAAAAGGTATATATATATATATAAACATGGAGATTCATAAATAACATGAACACATTTCCATAATTTCTCTCTCATGTCAGAAGGAAGCTTTCTCCAATCAGGAATTGTAAAAGGTACAATTTCTCTCCCAAGAGGTCCCAAGAATGAAGATAGCTTAACAGATTCTTCATCAATAGGTTGACCTTTGTCATTGAACTTGATTTCAATCCGATTATCACCATTCAAAGCAATGGTCTTCATTTTAGTTGGACCTCTTTTTTTCTTAGGCACAGTAGTGGAATCCATAAGTATTTATCTTTGCCTCAATACCTGAAATCAAAGAAAGTTAATTATTAAGAATGTAAAATAACATTTAAATTACAATTAATTATTAAGAAATTAATAAATACAAAAAGCCCCATTACCTATAAACAAGGCACAACTACAATTACACGATATACAATATGTAAATGAATAGATAACTAGCTTCAATCCACAAAATAAAAAGTAATAAACAGTGTACATAAAAGAATTGTAGTTCCGTTTAACTTAAATTTACAAAAGTACATAAATCACACCAATACACCTTCACAATCCTCTCTTACGTAACTAACTTCCTCACTATCATCATAAATGTTCATATTGTGTGTTGTAACATATTCAGGTCTACTAGTCAAATCCTCATCCTCATTATACATTTCCAACTCATAGTAACCTCTCGGTGGTGCCTTCAACACAACGTACCAATTAGGTGAATCAATTTCTTTAGAGTAAAACACTTGTTTCGCTTGAGTTGCTAGGATAAATGGCTCCCTTACATACTGATTCTGACTTTGGTGCAAATTGACAAGTGTAAAACCATCTTCAAACTTAACTCCATGTCCAGCATTCGCCCAATGACACTTGAATATTGGAAGTTGAAATTGATAGTAATCCAATAAGATAATTTCTTTTATCACCCCATAGTATGCAACTACATCAACAACTTGTGAAGTATCTTTTGCACTTGCTCGACATATTGTTGTTGCCTCAATTGAAACACCACTGTTTTGTGTTGATTTGTCAACATCCTTTGTGTGAAACCTTTGTCCATTTATAACATAACCATTATAACTCATGGCATGATTCCTTGGACCATTTGCAAGCCACTTTAGTGTTTCTCCATCCTCACATATGGAGGTTAGGAACGAAACCTATACAAACAATTTTAAAGAGGTGTTAATATTATTTATGAGATGACTTACAAAGTACTTAGCAATCATTCAAACTATAATACCTTTTCTTTCAACCATGTTGCAAAATTATTTGCATGGGTCTTTTGGAGTAAGTTGTGATTTCTCTCAAGATTCTTGTTGGATTGCTTTAACTCTTCCAAATGCATCCTAACATGAAACCAAGTAGTGCAAAAGTCATATACAATGTAAATAGTTATCTAAATTGGAAATCTAGAGATAAATACTTACTGTAGAAATGGTTCGGTCACTGTTGTGTTAAATAACACATAACGATGTGCACGCTCTAACACTTCATCACTTAATGACATTGACTTTCCTCCCAAGATTGGATGACCTTCTAGAATTACGTCGGAAAAGAAATCTTGATTACGAGCATTTTGATCATTTCCTCCAAAATCATGATTAAAATACCCACTACAGAAAGTAACAGTTTCATCAACAAGATAACATTCTGCAATACAAACTTTAGGTCGTGCACGATTTTTAACATATCCTTTGAGAATCTTCATGTACCTAAATAAAAATATATCACATTAAATTAATGTCTTTAAATAATAGACGAATTCAAACAGAGATGGGTTTAACGATTGATCACCTCTCAAACGGATACATCCATCGATACTGAATGGGTCCGCCTAGTCGTGCTTCTCTTCCTAAATGAATTGAAAGGTGGATCATGATATCAAAGAATGACGGGGGAAAGAATCGCTCAAACATACATATGGTTTCAACAACTTCATCTTCTAGTGCAACCACAACTTCTCTATCAATAACTCGTTGGCATAATTTATTAAAAAATGCACATAATCGCATAATTGCCATTCTTGGTCCCTTGGGTAACAACCCTCTTAATGCTACCACCAATAATTGTTGTATTAGAACATGACAGTCATGCGATTTAAGACCTGTTATCTTGCATTCTTCAATTGATACACAATTCCCAATGTTTGAGCTATACCCATCAGGTAACTTTAGATTAAATAATCTCTCACAAAATTTTTCTTTCTCCGTCTTTGATAACGTATGTGGAGCCAATGGTAGGTATGTTCTACGTCCATGATCTTTTGGATGCAACTCATGACGAATTCCCATATCTTCTAAATCTTTTCCAGAATAGCTGATACCGAGGCATTTAGAGGAGTATATTGACTCTTGTCACGATCGCGACGAGGAACTGGGGCATAAGATTTCTTGGGCTCGTGGCGCTGCTTCTTTTCTTTTCGCTGATCATCACTGGCCCATCTGTGATTAGCCCGCCAATTTTCTCCCCGATTGGGAGCACTGCTCGAAGGACAGGGGTCATGGCGATTGAGAGCGGCCACAGAACTTTCAATGCGAAGGTACTTTTTGGTAAGGTTGTAGAAGCGAGTGAGGGAAACATCATCCTCAGTTTGCAGTTCCTTCCATAAGTCTGTATGTGGGCGAACTCCCGCAATGATGAGAGTCCGAACAGACTCTTTGGGAGTGTGAGATACTTTGTGGAGCTCCTTATGGAACAGTGTCTATATAAGATTGGAGGGATTCATCCATCTCTTGCCTTATGTTGCTCAGGTAGCTTAGAGGCATTGAGAACTTCCTGTTCGCCTGGAAGTGCCTCAGAAATGTCGAGTTCATTTGAGGCCACGAGCTGACTGATCCTGTCGAGAGTGACCTAAACCATCGCTTGACATGGGAGGTAAGGGTTACCACTAAGCAATGACATTTTGCCAAGTTAGAGACTTGGTGGAGTTCCATGAGGTCGTTGAACTCATACAAATGATCCTGCGGATCGGAATTCCTATTGAATGCTCGCATGTCAGGCATTCTGAATCTCGATGGGAGGGGAGCAACTAACACTACTGGAGAAAAGAGAGATGCCTCTGCGACCTGCCCTTGCTCATTTTGTTGAGCCTTAAGCTGATGCATAGCTCGCTGTAGCTCCTCAATCTGAAGCAGCGGAACTACTTGGGGATCACTTTCCGCAACGCGGGTTCGGTCCTCACGGTTACAGTTAAGGAAAGACTGTAAATTGGACTCTTCCTCACCTCGGTCGGAAGCTTTGGCCAATCTCGGCACATGCTAGCTAGAGCTGTGTGACTATATCGAGTTGTTCGGGGAATCTTTCTGACCTCCGCGATGGTACGAATCGACCTGCGGACGATGGGAATCCCCTGCATGATGACGATCGAAGTCGTCCTTTTGGTGATATTGGGAATCTCCCTGCCTTGAACTTTTGTGGGAGTGCCCATGCAACGTTGCGTGGGACGGCTCATGCTGCAACATATCGCCAAGTCGTAATGCCACGGGTAATCTATACGTGGTGCGATCGGTGTTCGCTAGTCCCTCAGAGCCCTTAGGTCTATTGTGCGCCACTTGCTTTCCTTTTCTCTGGCGTGCTGTTGTGCGCATGGCATGGGCTTTCGCCCTTTTCCACGCTTTCGCGCGACTTACAGGCGTTTTTGGCGGTAGCACCACCTCATTGGATTCAAGTGGCATAACCCGATCCAATTGGTCCAGCCTTCGGCTGACCGTTTGAAGAGTATTATTGAACCTCTCCAGGTAATTCATGATGGCTGGATTAGGCTGTGAGCGTGAAGGAATATCCCCCATGATATTCTACTAGACTGGTGGCACTTCGGGAGAAGTGTCATGTACCTGGGGGATTGCTTCATTACCATGACTGGTTCGCTCAGATTCGAAGTCGCGGGCCATTTACTTTTATGGGACCGAGTAGTCAGAGATTTCTCTGATGAAGAGTAGGTACTAAATTAGGCCCTCCTTCTAGCACCAAACTGTTGATGCTTGATTTTGACACCAACTAGTGGGAAATGCTAAACGGACTTAGAAATCATACGTGATATGAGAATATTTAGTTAAATAAAGGGTGAGAAGCTGTTGATGCTTGATTTTGACACCAACTATTCGCACGTGGGAAATACTAAGCGGACTTAGAAGTCACACGTGATATGAGAATATTTTGTTAAATAAAGGGTGAGAAACAATGTTTAAAGTATTTCGGATGCTCAAAAGCGAATCCTACGTCTACTGATATTGTATTAATGAATAAGGTCAGGTCGTATTAAGCGAGTTGGGTTACGGCTTAGAAAATACAAAGGAGAGAGAGACAGAGAGAGAGAGAGAGTAAGCTATTCTAGAGTGAAATTAGCTAATCCTGCAAATAAATAGAGAAGGCCTTTATTTATAGTGGGATAAACCAAGGTAATGATTACTAATTCTGCAAGTGAGTGGATACCATGCAAATCCTTCTCTGCGTCCCATTGCTCACCTGCCTGAGTGATTTCCTTGACTTATGCAGGGATTGGACATGTGGACGATTTCCAACCATTCACTAGCCTGACACTCACCCACTGCATTGACAGAGGCATGCCACTTACGTCATTATGTGACATGGGTGCGTGTGAACGGTCGCAAAACTTTCCCAGGTTCTGACCATCCCATGCTGACAAGACTTCGCGTCAGCCCTACTTTTTTAGGCATAACAATTATCATTAACAAACTTTATAAACTGCAATGTCACGATATGGATAACTATTTGATTGAAAAATTACATCATACTAAAATGTTACTTAAGCCAAATCTTAGGGATGAAATTTTTGTTTTCCCTTTGTTTTAGAGACATATAAGTATACCCCAGGTTGGGAAACAATAGTATAATGTCTTCTGACACATTAATAAGATATAACAATTTATTATTCTATAATTAATTTTTAAAAATAACCCATATTAATTTATGAATATTGAAGTTTTAAAAGTGACCCCCAAATCTAAGTTAGGAATAATCAAATTTTAAAAATAATACGAGATTGTTAATGGGGCTTAGAGGTGGGAATTAGGTCCGGGCCCAAAGGACCCACCCCAAAAACCTGGTCCTAAGACCAGACCAGGCCCAAGGGAGGAGGGACTGAGCAAGGCTGGTCCCTCCTCCAAGGCCTAGGCCTGGGATCGATCCTAGACTCGGGCCCAAACCCCTTCCCTAATTACATTTAACCCCTATAAAAAAGCCAAAACCCCTTGTTTAATATGAAATTGACAGTAAATATAAGGGTTAGAATAATTTTATAAAATAAATTTTAAAAAAATAAATAGGACCGATCAGGACCCTAAGAAATCTCATGGGCCCAGGACAGTCCTTAAAAAATTGGACCTGGATTGAGACCGATCCTTGAGGGCCTAGGCTTGGGACTGCTAAAGCCTAGGTCTTGCCCACCTCTAATGTGGCTTGTTGGGTTGGATATTTGACTTTCATGCCCATATCCATCTACTCTATAAATACCCAAATTTACATTATTGTCCATTATTAAAAAAATGGACAGGTTTGGATTTGAATTATTATTATTATTAATATTATTTTTGGTTGAAAAACAAGTTTCTCGATGATTTACCCATTGTTTTATAATATTACACTAACAAAATCAATCAAATATCATGACATCCTAATATTTTCTTTAATCAGGACATTGAATTTGAGACATTATACTTTTTTAATGGTTGAGAATTATTCATATTAAAATTAGTTTTCATACAAAATTCATGGGAGACAGAAAGTGAAAGAGATAAGGTAGAAAAAAATTAATTTTATTTTTGTTGAAATATATTCACATTAAAATTAGTTACAGTACAAAATCCACGAGAGATATAAAATGAAAGAGATAAGGTAGAGAAAGTTAAAATTTTGTTCAACTGTAATATCAAGTAGCTTTTTAATTTGAAAAATGTTATCCTTACAAAGACCATACAAAGAGGGCTACAAAGTAACATCATCAAGAAGAAAAAAACAAAGAAAAAACGGAAAAAGAGAGAGAGAGAGAGAGAAATCATGAAAATCAAGGGTGGGGATTGTCTTTGTATGCCCCCTTTGTATATGTCTTTGTAAAACTAGCATTGCTCTTTTAATTTTAATAAATCTCAACCATCAACAAAATCCCATATCTCAAATTTAAGGTCCTAATATAATTTATACTTTTTGCAAATTTAAAAAGTTAATAATTAGAGTTAATGACAATAATACCACTGAGGTATAATATAATAACAAAAATTCTTCCATTGTTAAGTTTGAGATGTTAAAATAAACGATATGAGGGCAATTTGATGATATTTATTAACTCATAATAATGTAAATTTAACAGCTTTAACAGTTTATTAATGGCAAGGGGGTTATTGTTATTTCGAAAACCTTACAGGGATTTTGTGTTATATCATACTTTGAGATGATTTTTTTCATTACCTCGAAGAATTAAGAAAAAAGTTTTTTACCATAGAAATATCTAAACAAAATAAATATAATCAAAAGTTCAAAGTCTAAAATTGGCGTTACTTTAAACATTAAGCACTACAAGAGTAAACATCTTCCTTGAAGGGAAAAAAAATTAATTATGTTATATTTATTATGATATTAATTCACATTAAAAAAAAAAAAAAAAAAAAAAAACACTTTAAACTTTCTTCATATATTTATATTCTCAATAAAATCAATGATTTGGGACCCGGACCGAATTGGTCGGTCCGATTGGTCCGACCATTGATCAGCCCCTTCTCCGTTTTGGGGACACCCTAAACCCAATTTCAATCATTAGCCCAAATTGACTCGCGATTGAACCAATGGAATAGTGTCGAACAGCCTTTTCAACTGGCCTAGTGGCTAAACTGGGTTATTAAAGTCTATAAAATTAAAATCGTGTTGGCATCGCCACCGGCCATTTTCGATGATTCTGGTGCAGTTGCACCAATCTAACACCACCATCGGCATCGCCTTCATCTCCACGACAAAACCGCAACCATCTTAGGCCAAGTGCACCCGTCGGTCGTCGACCATTGTTCACCTATTGATTCGCGCAACTGCCTATCTTCAAACTTGTTCTGATTTTGAAGTGGAGTTTTGTTTCGCACACAAGGGTGTATTTGCTAGATTTCAAACTTGTATGAACTGATGGTAATTTCCTAGGGATATGTATGTTAAGTTTCATACTAGGTTTTATGTTGATGACACTAGTCTGACCCGTTGATTGGACTAGTTGGACTACCTAACCCAGAAACTGGCCCCTTGACTGGGTCAAGGCCCAGGTCGAGTTTAAAAACATTGAATAAAATGTGTC